ATGGTAATTTTTTTTTAATTTGAAATAGTTTCTTATATCAACTGTAATTAGTAAGCCAAACACAGTAAATAAATATTAAATATATATGGGGATGGTTAACAACTATGTTATTCTGTTAATCTATTAAGTGAGAAACAAAAACATATCGTCTTGAATGTTAAGGAAGCAAAGAATTTGATATTTTTTAACATCTAAAATCTCACTCTCATTATTCAACGAAGTGATATTTTACTCCACATTTTCTGTAAAATCTCACTTCCAATTTTTATCGAACTAATATTTTACCCTTCAAAGCTTCATTTTTAGACAAAATACCCAACAAAAACTTCTCTCATTCTTTACTTCATAATATAATATAAAATGAATAAATTTTTAATATATTATATCTATTATTCATTCTACTTTCTCATTCTTCATTATATTTTCTAATTTAAATCTAATTTGATTTATTACCCCATGAATTAAATGCACTTCATCGTCAATCATTAATCCACCAAAATGAATAGATTATTCAGTAACAAATTCTCTATTTTATTTTTTCCTTATTAAATTGACATATTCACCACTCTTATCCATAAGCATGCAATACATTATTAAGGAAATAAACAATTACCATCTGATCCACATTTAATATTGATATCTTTAATTTTTTTATACTTATTATTTATACTATTCATCTCAAAAATAGACATCTATTCTCTATCATCTGGTTAGAATGTGAACATATTATTATCAATAAAACATATTCTATATCCATATTATTCAACTGTAATCTTTTATATTACAATGCATTCTTTTTCTATTGTGATTGCTCTATTATTAATATCTATTTATCATAACCACAAGATATAACTCTATTTTATTATTAACTTAAACTTAATTCATATATATAATTAGAATGATCAGTAATTGTTTATTAACACAACAACCATTTATTCTTATTCATCCAAAATTTAATAGTCTTATCAGCACTACCTGATATAATAATATCTTCATTATTATTTAATATTAAACAAAAGATATAACCGATATGTCCATTTAATCTCTATTAGGAAATCCATTCATTATTTTCTTTTTTACAATATAATGATAGATTAATAACTCCCAGATATAAACTAGTTTTACTTCTTCATGAAGTTTAAAGTATATACCCCAGGTATTTGATACAAATTAATTCTAGGTGTTCTTCTAGCTTTATAAAAACATAAATATTATTAGCCCGTATCCTCAACTTACTTCATTAGTTGATCAGGAAATCAATCTTCAAAAAGAGTTAATAATAATTTATTATTAAAACTTGGCTCATCTTATTATATTTTAGATACGATATTTTAATACATGATAAACTAAAGAAACCTCATAATTTGCCACTTCTTGGTGATAGAATCTTAAATGATCATGGAATGAGTGCTTTAGAAGATGATAAATAATCCTAATTCAGCCACAAATGGTTCTATTATTTGATTGTTATAATAACCTGAAAGAAAGAAACTTAAAAACTTGAGAAGTCATTAAAAAACCAAAGTAGATACAATAATAATAATCAATCCTACTTATTTAAAAAATAGATTTTCTTTTTTAAATAAAAATTTATCCATAATTGATGCTGAAGGCCTTAATGAGAAAAAATATTTTTGCCAAAAATTAACTTAAATATCTTCTAATATGTTTTCAATTGACAATTATTTAAAAATTACATTATTAGATGTTTGTAGAATATGTTAATAAATTGCTTAAGATATTAGATTTTTAGATACTTTGACTACAGCTCCATAAACACATAAAAATTTTAAATAATCATTAGTTTGACATTTTAATGTCTATTATGGATTCGATTTATTTGGATAATAAATTAAATCAATAATTTAATTGATATTAAAAAATTTTTGAGTCAATTTTAAATAAATTTATTATATAATTACAAAATTAAGAAATGCTTCATTAAGTTGACGATGAATCAGGTAAAAGCAGGTCAAATACAACTGAGAATGCTATAATAACTATAAAAGAATAAGAATATTTGTATATATTGATTAAAATGGACGGATGGTGTAGCATCTTACCTGCAGAGGCCTTATAGATTGAAAATATAAACAAAGTATTGAACGATTTAATGAGTTAATGTTTAAGTGATGGTGAGGGTATTTAAATTAAAAACTTAAATGAAAATGATCTTTGAGGTTTTAGATTAAGCAGTGGTATCACCTGCAACAGTAAAAAAAGCAATGATTCCTATTGCAATTTTATATATTATAAATCATTCATTCAAATGATAACATAAATTATAAAAACATGTAAATAACTAATACTAGTACTGGATATTTGCTTGATCTGTTGGTACAATTTTTAACTAAATTTTGATAGAATTGTAGCTAATACCTTTGCAGTTGAGCCTCTATCAAAAATGAATCTCTATTTAAGTATTTGATTATAAGAACAAAAAACAATGTAAAAGAAATTTTAAACTGCCAAAACAATTATGGTTAATTATACTGAAATTGGTGTAGATCTGCATTTAACCACAGGTTTTACACTCTAATTAAGTTTTGGATAAAAATTATATGCGCAAGTAAAAAAAAGAAAAAACTATTCACCTCTTGGAAAGCAATTCTTAGTCTTTGTAGATAATGTAAAAATTGATCCATAAGCACCTGTTGAATTGATAAGATAATTTATTGATCTACAATAACAATTAGATTTATTCAGCGCATGAGACATGTAGAGTTTTAATGAATAGATTAATTAATTACGTTTTTAAGATTGGTTTGAAGAAAATTTAGTTAATAAATATTGTTTTTATTAAGATTTAATATAAAATCAAAGAATTGCTTGATTCATAGCTACACACTAATTTTTAGAAAGAGCTGATCGTATCTATTAAAAAAGAATAGAATAAGCAGAGTTTTAAGAAAATAAGGAGCATTATAAATGTAAATTTTTATCATTTAATTAATATTTTGAATCTAAAATATATTTTAATGAAACTATGAAATCTTTATTAAATGTTTTTTATGTTCTCTAAAATGCTGAAAAAAATATGATGCATTCTCTGCTGCTCTGAAAATAAATGTTTATGTTTCTCTTAAATCTTATTTTAATAAATAACTCAAAATCAATTTCCAATCATAGTTTTCTCCTCTTTTTTGAAAAACTCCCCATGTTATTCAATAACTTGTCTTATTTT